CTATCCTATATGTGAGTAACGTCCGACGTCATTGGCCATGATGTATTCTACTCACGAACGATTTGGCGAACAAACCCGGTCCACATACTTGTCCATCCTCCTGCAAAAGAGCCATATACCATACCAAATGCAATAAGTCCTGCTAATGTGTGACTCAATACTCCCCATAGAACGAAAGTGGCGATGCATGTTCCCAGGAGAGTCAAGAAAGCTAAGATCCAAGGGTCCATTCGGTCGGAGAGGATGCCGACTGACAACCGAGCTATCACTTCTGCACCTGTGTACCCCGGTTAGCACTCCTCGTCGCCTGTAATCGATGAAAAGCTACCGTTGAGCATAGCAAGTGCCAGGGATGCCTTTGATGGACTGAGATCCATTGCGGTAGCAAAGGCTGAATAGCCTTAGGCAGCTGTAAATGAATCCAAATCCAGAAGACTCACTCGGCAGCCACACAAATGGCACAAAATATCCTATAACAAATGAAGTTAGCTCCGCCTAGAGCACGAGGATATGAACCACGAACCGAGTCCCTGAATAGTATTGATGAGTATCAAAAAATGGAACTTTCTCTGTTTCATCCATTCCCATGAACTGTCGCCCCGATGAGAATGCGGGGCTTGAACTTTGGCCGCTGGCAGTCGGCCGCGCACGAATGGCAGCAAGGGTAACAGGAGAGAAAACAAGACAATAGCCAGCATTCTCAGGGTCTTGGGTATCCCGTGCTTCTCAATGAGACTAGGTAGGACCAATGGAAGTATCAGTCCCGATAGGGCTCCCGCCGCGTTGATGAACCCATTGGCAAGACCTCTTCGGAGGACAAACCATTCCGACATGTACGAGAGGCAAGTGTAGTAAATGATTGCTGGTCATGTATGAGTAAGTTTGGACTGTATCGTAGATCTGCGACCTTACATCCACCGAGTCCATATAGAACTCCTTGACACAGGACGAGGCTGGTAACCTAGACTTGTGTCAGCCATCATCTAAAAATGCTAATATTCTCACCTTGGTGGCGTAGCTTGCGCCGAAAAGGCTCGCCCAACAGGTTATGGCAGCAAACCATAGAGAAAGGCGGGTCCATTTAGGATATCGATAGATAAATGGAGAGAGAAACGGGCCTTTACAGGTCATTTACACACTAAAATTTTGTTCGTGATGCTTACCAGAGATGTATATGATGCCGGTCGTTAGCGTTCCAATCAGGGGAAGCAGGAAATATGCGCGCGGTTGAGTAGAATATATGGGATCCCGGAGGTATGCATCAAGAAATACTCCGTACGAGTTTGGAAACCCAAGCACGATGATCTCCACAAGAAATGCAGCAAGCAGCTATGCACCAATTAGTCCATAGTTCTGGTGATGATGGGGTTACAGACGTAAGACCAAGCTCCGACTCCTCCATCCACAGGAGCAAGGGCCGAAACATTCGTAGCAGCTTCATTATCGTGCGCTAATGGTGGGCCACTAGTCTCTGAACTTCTGAGGTTCTGTAGCAAAATAGTCGAAGTGGATTCTGGAAGCGGCATGCTAGTGGCAATCTCTATTGAATCGCTTATATTCAATTTATCATTCATACCGGGAGATCTCAGCGAAATCTCGAGATGATTTGACCTGGGGCTATCCTCGTTGATACCACTTCCATCTATTTGATTTCCATGGGGGCTGAGCACTGAAGCCGAGGATTTGAACTCTTGACAGTCATGTATCCCGTCTCCCATAGGACCTGGTAGTATCTCTAGGGGAGGATGCGACATATTTCTGGTCGAGGACAAGTTGAGATGCCGAAGAGGGACGAGCGCTACACTGGTGGTCCCTAACACTAGGTGACTCGGTTCATTATCCCGTTTTGTATCGGTACAGCTATCCGAATGTAATCATGATCCGAATTCACCCTTGGGCTTTACGACCATGGACCTCGTTTGAGCTATCAAGTCGGTCATTTTATTTGATTCAATTCTGTAGATTAGATTTACCCAGAAAAAACTGAACGGTGAACATGGGATGAATCAGTGCAAGGCCACAACCGTTTTTATTGGAGTCCTGTGAATGATTAGATGGTGACAATGTGTTCAGATGCTGTTGCAGAGGTGGCATGTGGACGGGGTTTGTTCGCCAAATCGTTCGTGAGTAGAATACATCATGGCCAATGACGTCGGACGTTACTCACATATAGGATAG